AGAGGGGGTTTTTAAAGGGATCTGTACGCCCTGAGGCTGGACAGCCTCGGCGAATTGTCCTAAACCCATGGTTCTTCCATTGTCGTCATTAAAAAACAGGCCTTCGGCTACCAATGCCTTTAAATGATTGACCCTAAACCTTAAGCCCTAGATTCTAGGCCCTACCTAGAACCCTGTAACCCTACCACTGTTGCGGCGTACCTATTTGTGTGTATAGAAAATACTAGATGTAAAGTGAGATCTTTTTCAGGAAAAAAAACGTGTAAGGCATAGGGCTCTCTTGGTTCAGTACTAACCCCTACACCCGAACCCCCCCCCAGAAAAGCTTCCTCCGCCCAGTGTCGCTCTTAATGAAGCAGGTAAGTCATCGTGTTTCCTGCATGAAATCTGTGCCTAGGTCCAGGGTTTTGGGTTTAGGGATGTGGGTTTAGGGTCAGTAACCCATAATTATAGTCTATTTTCCTGCTAGATTCCTACCACTTGAGGTTAAATTTACCCATCATTTTGGATAACTCTAAGCCGCAAGCTTTTTATTTTGGGAAACTCTGCATTTCTAGGCGTAGTCTCTGTTAAACCTTTGGCATCCCCGCCAAAAAAGCGATCACAGGAGTCCTGTAATGCATTTCTCCCACATGGTAGGAGCTCAGCGGAGACTCTCTAGCCTTTGGGGTTGGTGAAACCCAGTTTAGGGTTTAGGGTTTAGGGTTTGAGGTTTACGGTTAGGGTTTGGGGGTTCAGGGTTTAAGGGTGTGGGGCTCAGGGGTTAAGGGTTTAGGGCATATGTAATCCTACCTACCATGAATTCAATGTTCGGTTTTTTTTGAGGGCCAGTCAGCTCGTCAGCTAAAAAATGAAAAAGGCGTTGCTTGGGGAAGGGCGATCATATGACTCTTTAGGGCCCACATTTTGGGGTTCAGAGTTGCCAAAACCTTTTGCTTGAACCCTAAACTGTGAACCCAACACCTTCAGCCCAAAACCTAAACCCTACACTCCCTATTAGAGCAAGACTACAACTGCTCAGGTGTTTCGGCTTTGCTGTCACGGACGAGGACACATGGGTGCTAACGTGGCGCGGCGTCAACAGCTCATCAAGCGGGGGCAGGGGCTAGAATCTAGTGGCCTAAAAGAAGCTGAGCTGCGGGTTGGGGGTAGAGTAGACTTTGATCATGAGAGGGCTGACTCAAAGAGTCCAAGTAACAAGAAATTGTGAACTATGATCGGCCACCCCGTTTGTTGGAAGTACTTTTGGTAAGGAACGGTGCACTTGCCCGAAACCCTAAAATCTAAACCCTATACCCTAAACTGCGTGGCTTTTTGAGCCTATCTGTGGTGGTTCAGGCGCTTAGACAAACAAACTGTTGGGCTGAAGCTGGGCTCAGTGGCATTGGGCTTTATTTGGATTATTGGGTTTAGGGTTTAGGGGAATTGGGCGTAGGGTTTTGGGTGGCCGTTGCTTTGTGGATTTGAGAAATTTTGAAATCCTCGCAGGGTTTAGGGTTTAGGAGGTTTGGGCGTAGGGTTTTGGGTGGCCGTTGCTCTGTGGATTTGAGAAATTTTGAAATCTTCACAAGTGCGTGGAGTTTACTGGGATAGGATTTACTGAGGAACTTTGGGCGAAGTGATGAAGTATGAAGTTGCGCGCAGTCTGTGAATGGAGGCGTCACCGCGTTTGTCGATAAGGGCCGACGGATGATGGTTGTTTTAGACCGGAGTCCCTAGAATCAGGATTCCAATATGTAGGGGTCTGTAGTGGGGCCTGTTGATGCAGCCAAGTTTTCATTTCAAGATGACCACGGCATCGAAACTAAAATTGCTTGTGCAAGGTTTAGGGTTCAGGGCTTAGAGTTTAGTGTTCAGGATTCAGGGTTTAGGGCTTATGCGGGAGTTTCTCAAAACTATTCTCTAGAACCCCGAGTCGGGGGCCCCCATAATCGCTTTAATTTATAATCCCAAGATATCGCTAGGAGGATCGTAACGACCGCGGTTGTGAGAAGTTCCCATATAGTTCGAAAAGCGAAAAATGTCATGGAACCATGTAGGACCATGACAGGGATTATATCGGCAAATTATTTCTATGAGCATCCACACCCTCGCGGGCCCCACATTAGATGTTTGGAGGCACCTTTGTCCTCTTTACATTACATACCTACCACTACCCTAAACCCTGCACCCTATATCACCGAAACCTCTTTTTCGTGCATGGACCCTTCGGGAAGCCAACTATTAGAAGGCACGAGTACTCGGGCGACGTCAAGCGACCAATCCATGCATTGGGCCCTCGCAGCCTTACTTTGGAGGACCCGCCTGGGCAGGTGGGATCCGGGTCGAACTGGCAAGGTTCAGAGTCTAGGGTTTAGAGTTTAGCGTTTCAGGGTCAAGGTCCCAAAGTCATGGGTTTTTGGGTTTTAGGTTTTGGATTGTAAGGTTTATACGATTTGGAGTTTGGGGTTCAGCCTTGGACTGTGGTGCTTAGCGAGCTGTAAAGGTTCAAAGCTTTGGGTGGAGAGTGCGGGGTTCTGAGTTTTATGCTTGAGGTCGCAGGGCTTCGAGCCTTAGGTTTAGGGTTCGGGTTTAGGAGGTGTTCATGCAGGGTTTTCCGTCGCTGCTTATGCGCCATCGTGGCGCTACTGTTCGTGGCATACTCCTGCATGATCCTTAATGATACAATCAAGATGTTCCTTAGTTACTTAAATATAAGGTCATAACAGATTCTATTCATAAGCCATGGTACCCACTGTTGGTCAATGGCTCGTAGCTACAGTTGATACAGCACACGCATGGCACTAAGTACCTGATACCTTGGCATTCGGGCGATGAGCATCTCAGTATCAAACCGCAGTACTGTTACAGCTAATGCTACCATTGTGAGTCTTAGCATTCTATAGCTGTTGTCATGTTCTAGCAGGCGATTGCTGCAGCCGTGGCTTCTGCCTTCTATGCAGACCGGTGCCCCAAAGCCTAGACCCTACTACAGGGGCCTAAATGATTGCCCCTTTAGAAGGGTTTCTCGGATCAATTTGATTGAGCTACTGCGGACTTGGAAGCAGATGTTGTGCGAAAAAGGCCTTCAAGAACTGATGGCATTCCCTGTAAGTCGTGGAATCAGGGTTTTGCTGTTTTCTTGCAGTCCTGCCCTTTATGCACGAACATGTAGCACGAGCTTGTATTCCAAGGGCCCCACGTTGCCCATATTACTGTCGTGTCCGCAAGTGCTACAAGCTTTCTCAGTACAATTTTGGTAAGTATTTGGTTGTTTTGCATAGCCGGGAGATAAGCAGGAGTACTTGTATACCCCTATCTTTCCCTTATGCTGGTTATACAAGTCCAACTTAAACAACCTTAGCATTTAATTTTCCGTTTGTCCATTCTCCCATACACCCCATGACATTTAATGTTGACATCATGGGCCCCTAGTATGCGCCCTTAATTCTGGGATCCTTGTATACCTACTATATACCCTATATGAACCCTGCAGGGTCCCTGCAATCCTCCTAAAAATGCCTCGGGGCCCATGACCTTAGATCGTTTGTTTTGGTGGGCGCATGCATCAGGTGGAAAAGACCCTTATTCCTGACGTTGACAGTGCCGTCTTGCGTCTTGGCATCGGCCCAGCCCTAGAAAGTAAATATTGTAGTTTGCCAAAAATTGAGGTACTTTTATGCGGGCCTCGAGAATAAGAGCCCCAGGGAAAGCAGGCTTTCAATGCCGCGCTGAGGATCAAGGGTGTTTGGTTCAGGTTCCAGAGAATAGGTGTCTATACATGCTTAGGGTGCGAGGTTCAGGGTTCAGAGTTTAGGGTCTCGATGCAGGGTTTAAGGGCATGTATGTGTATACATGGCAGGTGTAGAGTATTCTATCGGCACCAAATGCTTTTCCCAGGAAACACAACTAAACTGTTTAGGGATTAGGATCAGGGTTTTAGGGTTTAGGGTTAGGGGTAGAATCCAACAAAGCAGTCGAGCAAGCACACCCCACTACCTCAATACCTCAGCCTTTGACCCCGTAAACTTAAGATCCAAATCTCTAAGCCCCAAACCACTTTGTCACAAACTTATACGAAGCCTTTTGTCAAGACCTCGGCCCAGACATCCATGCACTGACCCAAGGCTAAGCAATGTGCTTGCACCTTCTGAGACAAAGCAGCTCATCGCTTTAACCGAACGCTACTCGTCGGCGTTCGGCAGGAAGTCAGATCGTGCAGGTAGAGTTTGGGTTTTTCGCCTGAATGAATATATTAGATCAATCCCCCTGAAGGTAATAGCTCCTTTTTATGGAGCTCACAGGGCCTTAATCTACCTACACCAGTCCGCTGTGGTACCTATTACTGGGTGAGGCATCGACCCAAAGCATATATAAATTTAATGAGTACACCATGATACCCTGAATCCCAAACCCCTAAACCCCTAAACCCCCAAACCCGTAACCTCAAACTCTTAACCCTTAAAACCCTTAAACCCTAAACACCTAAACCCTAAACTCTTAAAGCCCTTAAACCCTTGACCCTAAACTCTTAACCCTTAAAACCCTTAAACCCTAAACCCTCAAGGTAGTAAGCTCCGCTTTCTGGACCCAGGCCTCGGCTTTCTGGACTTCAGTCCGCGCAAGGACAGGCCTTTAGGTTTTGGGGGGGGCTTGGATTGCTTGGGTGGTTTTAAGGGTTTTAGGGGTGTTCAAGGGGTTTTCGGGTGAAGTGCTTTAGGGGTTTTTAGGTGGTTAAAGGGTTTTAGGGCTTTAGGGTGCTGTAGCGGGCTTTAGGTATTCTAACGGGTTTTAGGGGCTTGGGGGGTTCAAGGGTTCTTAGGTGTTTTAGTGTTTTTTTATTGGTCTTAGTGTAATTTTAGGGGCTCTAGAGTTTCAGGGGCCTCAGGGGTTTCAGGAATGCTATAGAGGGCGTATAGGATGAAATTAGTAAGCTTGGGGTTGAGGGTTTGGGGGTTTTAGGGTTGAGAGTTCAGGCCCTAAACTCCTCAACCTTATCCCCTAAAACCCTACACCCTTTAGAGGAAAAGGCGCTTCTGTGACATGAAGGGCTAAGTGCGACGCAAAGCCAACCCTGAACGAGTCTTGAGATTGCTTGCGCAAGGCTTCGTTTTGTTAGGGTTTACTGTTCAGGAATGAGGTTTTAGGGTTCAGGCGTTTAGGGGTTAGGAATCTGGGAATCTAGGGTTCAGGGTTCAGGGTAGTTCTTGGTCCCTGAGAAGACCCCTTGAGAGCTTGGGACCTGAAGCCAATCCCTAAACCCAATTAACCTTGATCCTAAGCTCGAAGCCTTTGGGGTTATGGTTTAGTGTTCAGGGTCAACTCAAAATCCGTAAGCCTCCCAAAGCAGGACACCACGCTGCCAAGCTGCCATATGGTTGTGTGCGACGAGCCTCAGCTAGATGAGCTGCTGCTGGCAGGGGCTGAGGTACAGGGTTTAGGGTTTAGGTCTGAGGTATAGGGTTTAGGTTTTGGGGTTATGGGGCAGTCCGATGTTGGCGAGCTGTCTCTTCCTCCTGAAGCCCCAGATGCCGGTAACATTTATGCAGAGCCACTTGCACCGAACCGCTAAACCTTAAACTTCAGATCCTGCAGCCTGAAGCGGCAAAGGTAAGCGTAGATGCCAAGAGGCCCTATTGAACAGTTTTCGATATGTTGGGATTTATATACTGGGGTTTATAATTCAGGAGGCTCAAAAGGTGGGATGAAGATACGTGGGTTGAAGGACCCTTAGTATATACTCTACTATATTGGGGCTCATTTCCTATACCCCACCTTCTTTTTCCCCACCATTTGAGCCCTCTGCATAATGGGGCTTAGGGTATTCTACCCCACGACATGAGGAGCTTCTTTCGACCATCTTTGCGCGATTTGCTGCACATTTGCCACCGGGTGAACGGGACTCACGAGCCGAGGCAAGGGGTCTACCGTGGGGGTCGGGGTTGGAGTAAGGGTTTAGTAGGACTTAGGGTTTAGGGTCCCGGGTTTAGGGTTTCCCGTCTAGGGTTTAGTGTTTAGGGGTTTGGGGTTGGGTTAAGGGTTTAGGATGTAGAGTTTATGCATGCGGCCTCTCGGACAGTCTCAGAACATCCGCTTGGAGACAAGACTACAGAAGTTGGAATTACGGATTGTCATTCAACAATTCATCCCGTGGAACCGCCGTGATTTTGAGGGTTTGGGGCGTCGGGGTTCATTCAGGCTTTTGGTTTAGGTTTTAGAGTATGGGCTTTAGATTTTAGGTAGGGTTTACGGCTGAGGGGATACTAGATAATCAAATGGAGAAGAAACTGGGGCATGACATGGACGCTGGAGTGAAGGATTTCTTGCGATAGTTTCCCACATGATGGTTGTAGATTTGCATGACCAGGATTTAGAGTTCCTCACAGACCTCAACCTCAATACATTTTATCATTCGGGTCCCTACGATTTTTCTTATCTTAAGGCGTTAGGTTTTGGTTTGTGGATTTAGGGTTTACCTAGAAAAGCCTAGTCACCCATAATAATGGGCTACTTTAACCCAAAGTAGTAGGAAATCAGTGGAAAGTTGCCTTTGATTATGGGTAATTGGCTTTCTAGGTAGGGATGAGGTGTAGGGTTACCAAGGGAGCAGTACTTGCTCTGCGTATTAGCTTACGAGTGCTCAATAGGGGACGGGGAGAGGCAATAAGATGGTACCATTATACGGGCACGCTTGGAGATGCTGATAGGGGACAGAGAATACCCTAAACCCCAAACCCATCCCAAACCCTCAGCCCTAAATCCTGAGCACTAATCCAAAACCCTAAACCCCTAAACCCTAAACACCACCCCTAACTTCCCTGTGGGTCTCAGAACGAGCAATGACCCTCAACCAAAGATTCTACCCTATTTAGTTGCTGGTAGAGAATGGAGGTATAGTGGCTCCTACATACTCCCCAAGAATATGGTACCCCAGCCTTTTCGATTCCGCAAGCCCTAAGCCCGAAATTGTAGCTTTGCTCTGCCTTTTTTCACTGCATCCTAAACCCTGGACCCTAAACTCTGGCAATGGATGCTCAACTGCTTCAGGCCTTCAACGGGCGCTGGCGAATCTACAAGCACCTCAGTGAACTTAAGGTTCAGGATTGCTTGGGCCGCCACAGTGCATGGGCCCCAACAGCTACAGCGCCTAGACAAAACAGAACTTCTTCTCTACATTGGTATGAGGTTTTCGGTGTGGCTTGTGAATGGCGAACGTGTGAGCTATAGTCTAAACTCCTAGTATGCCCCTCAGTAACCCTCAGAATAGGCCCTTATATCTTGCCTTGTATAACCCTCTCTAAGCTGTTTAGATTATGGCTCAAATTACCATAACGAACCTGCAGTACTTGGGGGCACTAACATGACTACCACCTACTAACCCCCTGTATTTTTCAAGCAGGTATGGCATGAATGCCACCTTCCGTCCACATGCTGTGCGGCATGCATTCAGCACATGGTTCCAGGCTTAAGGCTTCTAGTTGAGATTTAGGGATTATCAGGGGGCTTGAAGACATTTGGTCCCTCTACCCTGAACCTAAACATAGATCTACATGAACTGTGGTGTGACTGTCAACCCTAGAGCCCAACCTAAACTCCAACCAGTAAACCCTAAACCCTAAACCGCAAATGTTTGACCCAAGACTCTACCCCAAACCCTAAACCCTAAACTGAACCTAAACCTACCTTCCTATAAAGGTACATCAGCCATTGCCTGACTGTCTTGGGGAAGCGCCTCACTCAACTTGATTGATAATCCCCTTAAGTAGATAGAATAGGATTTAAGGTTTAGGACTTAGGGTAGGGTGTAGGATATAGTCCGCCCTTGAAAAGACAGAATATGGGGTATATGAGGATCTTATCATAAGATACCCAGAGCGATACCCCATCTACTTAAGGGGTACCTAAACCCTAAACCCTAAGCCCTAAACCCTAAGCCCTAAAAATCCTGCACGATGTCTCAAATTCTTAACCCAGCCGGCCCGCAGCCTCCATCAATGAAACATTCGCTGGTACGTGGGATGTCACATGTAATCTAAGGTTAAGGGTTTAGGGTTTAGGGTTAAGGGTTTCCATTCAAGTGTCCTCTTTTTCCCATTGTGAACCACGGTTCTGCAATCTCCAGATGGGCTTGTTTTGGAGTTGTTGGGTAGGAGATTCTTGGTCTGCATGCTGGCCTGGTTATGTAATATTGTTGGACACACAAGCCTCTGAGCCACTTTAGGGTTTTAAATCTTTCGGACCTTTACACCCTACACCCCTAAACCCTAAACCCTCCCAAATGGGTTTTTCGGGTTGTGGGTTTAAGGTTTGGACTATTGGCTCGGAAGAGGGGGGGCAGTGCAACGTTAGTTTGAGCCCCTTGTATCTGCTTTAGGGGTTTTGGGTTTAGGGATTAGAGATCAGGGTTTAGGGTTAGGGCTAAGGGTTTAGGGGCTGGGTTTAGGGTTTAGAGACTAGGGTTCAGGGTTTTCCGCTTTTTGCCCTGTATTATCCAGTAAGCATGCCGCGCAAATCGCTCCTTTGTCACACTCTTCAGCAATCCGAAGCCTAAACTTACGCATTCTTAGTAGGGAATGAGGGAATACAATACGGTACAGGGTTTAGGCTTATGGAATATGATCCCTTTCTTTCTCTCTTTAATATACTCCCTCATTCCCTACTAAGACTCAATAAGTAATTTGACTCAATGCCTCCACGTAAAGCACTTTATGTACACTCAGGGCCTAAAGGCTTCCCACATAGTTGCTTTGGGGGCCCTCGTGCAAATAAGACCTCTGTATTATCTACCCTAAACCCTAAACCCTAAACCTAAACTAATCCTGCGATTTAAGCGCCTGTGAGGTGGATGGAGGCTGGCCCTACCAGGGCCTCACCAAGGAGGGAGAACTCAAAGATGCGCGGCACTTGGTCAAATCTGAGAAAGGTTTCGGAGAAAGGTTTCGACCAGGAACCATGGGGTATAGGGTTTAGGCGTTGAGGGTTTAGGATTTAGGGCTTATGGGTTTAGTGTTTAGGGGTTTAGGGTTTAAGGTTTCAGCCTTGGGTTTAAGGTTTAGGCTTGGGACTCAGGATGTTCAGGTTTAGAATACAAGGTTTTTGGGCTTGGGGTTTAGGGATTTCCCTGTTAGCCCTTCCGCCCCTTATACTACCCCCATAGACCGTCATAGACCCCCTGAATTAGAAGGTTACTTTGGGAGAACGAAAGATACTTTATGATTTACGCCTGGCATTCAGGATTGAGTGTTGGTGTTTCAGGGGAAGGTGAAGCAGATTACACCGGTCCGTCTTCTGGGGAGCCCCAGGGATCCAAATCGCCCAACGTAGGGCCTGTTTATAGAGACCCTCACCCTAAACCCAGGGTAATCTTGAGCAAGCTTGGGAAACAGCCTATCTTGGGCATCACAGAAGGAGGACCCCTGTGGGACACTCTCACTTGGCAGCGGGGTACTTGGGATCTAAAGTATCAACATTTACCTGATCGGACCTTTAAGGCAAGGGCACCGCAAGCTTGACTACCTAAACCCTAATCCCTAAACCCTAAACCCTAAAACCTGAACCCTAAACCCTAAACCTCAAAAACCTTTGTCCATAAACCCTGAGCCCTAAGCCCTGAACCCTAAACACTAAAGGGCTTCGCTAGCCCTTCTTTGAATAGCCTCGACATTCTTCACAGGGCAATGGTACCAAAGCATTAGATACATCCTTCTCGGGTACATCTAGGTTGCTGTCAAGGAACTTAAGTTAAGTAACCATAAAGGGTATGTATAGGGTTTAGGGTTTAGGGATCAGGGTTTAGGGTTTAGGGCTACCATTCTGGGTATATATCGTAAATAATGGAGATTCCCCAATATAGTAATTTAACTTAAGCTCCTTAACAGCAACCCGGACATTGGTATTCCATGTATGCCCTACCTAGACTCCTATACCTTGCCGTTTGTTGGGATACTTAATAGGATTTTGGGTTTTGAGTTTGGGGTTTAGGGGTTTGGGTTTGAGTCTAGGGTGTTGGGTTTATGGCATGTCTGGTATATTCTATGTATACAAGTAGGCACCCGAAAAGAAGTGTATGGGGGTCTAGGTAGCCCAACTTGCTTCTCAGCTACTAGGTCAATGAAGAAACCTACAGAATTACTGATATTTCAATTCTGGATGCCTTATGATTCTAGTATAGAGTGTCTCAAATAGACCTTAAACTGATTGTCGAAATATTTAGGCCCCCTGCATTATTATTCCTGTGGGTACCCCTAAGCTCCTAAAACCCTAAAACACCCAAACCCCAAATCCTGTAGGTTCAAAAAGTAGCCTTTCCCCCTTAAGTAGCTAGAACATGGCTTTGGGTATATTATGTTAAGATCCCCATATACCCAATATTCTATCAACTTAAAGGGGACTGTAACATCAAACCCTGGATATCGCCAATCGACCACTCGCTTGCTCGGTGGTCCCCGGAAAAGATCCGATTTTAACAATTCCTTAAGGGAGCCCTATAGAACCCTAAACCCTAAACCCTTAAATTCAGGCTTCCTTTGTTATGGTTTCGGAGTATATATCTCTGCCCCTTAAGGCTTAGGGTTGGACGGCCGGTGACTTGTTTAGGTTTAAGGTTTGGGGGAGCCCCTTATGGTGAACATGTTGGCCAGAATGGAGGGTGGCTGGAATAAAGGGAACTGACCACTTTTGCGTACACACTACGCAGTCCTACAATTAGATTTCTAAAGCCTGAACACTAAATCCTCCAGCAGGGTGAACGAACCCAATCCCTATATCAAGTATTCGCTTATTCCCTACTAATCCCACAGTAAGTACACCCAGAACACCAAACCTTCAACCCTACACCCTAATTCCTAAATCCTAAACCCTATATCCTAAACCGTAAACCCTAGAACCCAGAACACTAAACCCTACACCTGGTAGCAGACGCAAGGTGTTCTCCTCGCAGCGATTCACGCAGATGACGTGCCTCCGTTGCACCAAAGTAGTTCGAGACCATTTGAAGGGGGTCATATAGGGATATAGTCTAAAAAATTGAAAGGGGGTTATACAGGGGCTTATATAGGTGACTATTACAGACTATAGGTCATATAATCATATGCCAGTATCCAGAAATTAGGCACCCTGATAATGTTGAGAACCATTTTTCGGCGAGACAGTTTGGCCCCGAGGATTAAGGTCTAGGCCTGAAGGCTTCTAAAAAGTTTAGGGTTTAGGGTTTAGGGAGGGACCCTGGGAGTTGCAGAGATTAGAGAGAGATTATGGGTGCCCCTGCTAAGGGTTATATAGCCCAAAAGTTGCAAGCTCCAACATCAAGACCTTAAATCCTCAACTCCAAACCCTAAATCGTAAACTCTAAACTCTAGCTCGTAAACCCTAAACTAGCAACCATGTCAAGGGCCAGAATAATCGAAATATTCATACATTAGATGGACAATTTCTTGCGTGACTCCTTCTATAGCAAAATGCTAAACTAGAGTAGTATAGAAGAGGGCATGAGGACATGGTATTTGTACCTTGGAAGACGAGCGGCTTGATGGTCCGACTATACGTGTTGATCCTTTCAGATACGCGGTTTAGGGTTGAGGGTTTAGGGTTTAGGGTGGATGATAAGCACCCTGTCAGCTTTCAAGTTTGAGCGGCGAATTGCTCTTGTGGAGTTTTCCTCAAATTAGTATCGTCTTGGGGGGTCCCTATGATTAGGATTGTTGTATTTGGGGTCTAGGTTGTGGTTCGCCGATTTGGGGGAACTACCACTAAACCCTAGACCCTAAACCCTAAACCCCAAATCCTAGCACATCAATAGCAGTGGGATGGCTGGTGAGCCTTGGATGGGTTTGTCATCGAAGAACATATGAACATATCGAGGCTGAACACACTCTGCTCTACGCCTTGGATAACACTAAACCAAGCGTTCCTAACCGTTTAGTAGCGGGAATATTCATGATCACGGGTGACGTGGTAAACCAAAAGCCCCAAACCCACCTAAACCCTGCCCTAGCTACGCCTCAAAGTACGCGCCTAGCCGCGTGGTAGGGGCTTCTGCCCAGGTAGTAGTTTTTTATTTGGGGATACTATGGTACCCAATATAGAGTAAGATTATATCCTCCTTGTCAATATAGTATTTTACATAAGGAATATTATCTTACTGGGTTTAACCACCAAAAAAAACACCACTCAGGTGCCTCCTTTATTTGAACGATGACTTCGACGGAGGCTGTTGGGGCTTCGAATATCGGGTTGCCTTCTCGGGTTGTAGTTTGCGACTTTGAACAAGAGGAGGCACGACGGAGATCTACTGCTTCATGATCAGTTTCAAAACTTCAAGATCAGACTCAAGCTGGCCCCTTGTTATGAACCGGTGGAAGATTTTTTAAACATATCGTCTCTTTTCGGGGCACTATGTAAAGCTCGCCAGCATATGTATGGTACGGAGCAGACAAACCATCATTTTGACAACAACCCCCCCCATGTCATACCCTGAACCTTAAACCCGAACCTGAGCCCGGTGCAGTTTGCAAAGGGGAATGTGATCTGAAGGTCTTTCCCCTGCTGACCTTGTAACGCACAGGTTTAGGAGTTAGGGTGGGTTAGGGTTTAGGGTCCCAGCACGTCTCGGAGGGTGGAGCAGGACGTAAAGTAAGTAGGATAACGAAAAGGGGAGAACCGAAGGCATTCCATTAAGACACTCACTACTTTCCCCAAACCCTTGACCCCAAACCCTTAACCAGGTAGGGCCACCCTCTAAGTATTGTAAACCCTATTTCGCGCTAGTCCCTCATCCTTTAGTCCATGCGCCCTTTAGGGTCTAGGGTTTAGCGGTTTGGGGTTTGGGGGTTTAGGGTTCAGGGTTTAGGGGTTTAGGGTTTAGACCCTAAAGCCGAATTTCTCGACCATAGGAGCTATAGTCTAAGCTCTTTAAAAGAGGGTATACAGGTGTATAGGGGAGTATTGTAGGGGATATTACGGGGGATACTAGGAGTTTGGGCTATAGCTCACATGCATATGTACATCCCCGCTCAGGGAATGCTAGAGATCCCCGTAGACCCTGCGCAGGAAACCTTTAGCCCCTGTAAAGAGACCCCTTTCTTATCCCAGTCACACCTTTAAAGCTACTCGTGGTTTCGTACGTTTCCATGGTCCGCCGTGCCAACCCCAATCTACTTTCATCAGGCCGCCTAATATGGAGGATGCCCACAAAACACTGTAGGATCCCAACCCTTAACCCTAAACCCGAAATCCTAATTATGTACATGGTGTGGAGCAGGGCTTCTGTTCTGGGAAGTATTATTGTGGTTGGGGTGAGAATCCCCCTGCACATGTACTAAGGAGCTGGCTGTTGGGGTACAGGGCAACCAAAGGTAGCTGACTTATTTGCCAGAATAGCTCCTGTTCAATCCCTAATCTCTTTCTATTTCATCTTCTGACACGACCATAGTTTTGTCAAGTACTTAGGCCCGTATATCATTCAGAGTAGCAGGTGAAACTACCTTCTTCTCATCGCGTATTCCTGGCAAGCTGGCAGTGAGCGCCAAAGTGCCTCTGGGACACGATCTAGTTTTTCCGTTTCGCTTGCTTCCTCCTAGTATCCCTATCATGTATAGGGCTCAAATTAGGATTAGACAGTTAGTTATATAGGAGCCATATGGGAATGTTCCGGGACATAGTGGAAAACCTACAGTGAGAGTAGAGAGATAGTTAGTAAGGACCGATACTTTAATGGACAAATCCTAAACCCTGAATCCAAAATCCGAAGCCCGGAAAACATAGGAGCCAGGCGTTAGGGGTGTGAGTCGGGAAGGAAGGAAAGAAAAAGAACATGCAACCAGCTGCCTTTTTTTGGAGTTTGGGAAGGTTGGGGACCCCTAAACCCTCAACCCTGAACCCTAAGCCCTATACCCCACTTGGAGGCCCATGGGACTTAGTAACTACTTATAGCTGGGCTTATAACTCTACTTATAGTCCCCCTAAGTGGACTTGAGGGGGTTACCCGAATTATAAGTAGTGTTCTAACCCCAGCTCTAAGTCGTTACTAAGTCCCATGGGCCTCCAAGTAAACCTGAACCTAAAGTAGGAACTCCTTGCCTCACCACAAATATCCTTGACCCTGTCCCGTAAGCCCTCATAGACTTCTTGACCGGGTTGCTGTTCAGGAGTTCAACTTATATCACTATAATGGGTATACATAACAATTGGTGATGTTCCCCTAGTATGGTAAGTTAGACTAAGTTCTTTAACAGCAACACGGAACACCAAACTCAAGGACTGCAAAGGCAGGTAGCGCCCTCTGCTTCTTCCATGGTGGACATCCAGCAGCTTGAGAAGGATTCAGGGTTTAGTGTTTGCAGTTTAGGGATTTGGGGTTTAGGGTTTAGGGTGTAGAGTTTGGGGTTTAGGGATTGGAGTTTAGGGATTTGGGGTTAAGGGTTTAGGGTTTAGGGTTTAGGGTGTAGGGTTTGGGGTTCAGGATTTGTAGTTTAGGAATTTGGGGTTCAGGGTTTGGAGTTTAGGGATTTGGGGTTTAGGGTTTGGAGTTTAGGGATTTGAGGTTTTAGGTTTATGGTTAGTTTTAGTGTTGTAGAGTTCCAGTATAGGTCTTCCGGTGACGGCTCAGGAGTATAGAATTTAGGTATGCGTGGACGAGATTTGAGTTTTTAGGGTTACAGTGTCCATATCTACGCTTTACGGTTCAAGGGCCATTCAAGCCATATACTAGGGTGAAAGGGTTAAGAGTAAGGCCTCATTGCCTGACACGAGATTTGAGACCTTCAGCACTACACCCTAAACCCCAACTCTAAACCCCAACCCTGAACCCTAAACCCAAAGTTCTAAGCCCTAAACCCTAAGCCCTCCTAAACACTAAACTCTAAACCCCAAACCCCGTTGTGGGTTAACATTCAGCTTTTTTAAGGTGCAGTAGTTGCAGGGATAGGGCTTAGTGGTAAGTAGGTTGGTAGTAGACATTACAGGGATGACTGTATGGCCTCTGGGGTACAAAGAAAGCTCTGACCCTGAAAAAAAGGGGGAACGCCTAGAATCTAGCATCGAGCGTAAGGACCGGTGCTTTGGGAAGGGTGGAGATCTGCATATGACCACATCATGCTACTTCAGAGAACTGCCTACATAGATCCCACATCGGCATTCCGATAAGCTTCTTGTCAGGGCGTCGTACTTCTCAGTGGGATTTCCGTTTCCCTGTAGGTGTTCTAGGTACCCCAGTAGTACCTTTGTTCCCTTTTCAGTTTGGGGCCTCCTTATAGCAAAACATAGGGAAAAAGGGTACCCTTATTATGCTGGGGTTTCTGGGGACCTAGTGTTTCTTCCCTTTCTGCAAAGGATGGTGTCGAATTTGGAATCGGTCTCTAGTCTTGTGCTGACAATTGGGCGCGAACGCAGACTGATAGCCGTTGTCCCATGAGGTGCTTTGTCAAAGCATGCGCGCAGACGCCCTAAACCCTAAACCCTGAACACCCTAAACCCTATAAACCCTAAAAACCCTAAACACCCTATAAACCCTAAAAACCCTAGAAACCCTAAACCCTAAAACACCTGCGCTTCGCAGAGGATTTCAGAGGCCCTCTTCAAGGATTCTATTAGGCCTTAGTTTGAGGTCAACCCCCCCGGGCTGCAGAAATTCCTAAGGGTTTTAGGGTTAAAGGTGTTTAAGGGTTTAGGATTTAGGGTTTAAGGCCCAGGGGCTTTTAGGGTGAAACCCCAGCAGCTCAGGCAAGCCCCTGGCACGAAGGCTCTCCAGTTTTGCAAGGCCAGTGCAAAACCCTTAAACCCTTAAACCCTAAACCCTAACCTTCCGTTTGCGGAGCCCTAGCACCTGTAGGCTCCTATGTAGCTCCTTTTGGGGTTTGTACCCTAAACCCTAAACAATGTTTCTTTTGGGAAGGGATAACACTATACGACCCAAAGCGGAACCTGCACATGCGCCCTAGGTTGGGTTCGGGATTTGTTGGTTTAGGGTTTAGGGATTCAGAGTTCAGGGTTTAGTGTTTAGGGATTTAGAGTTTGGGGTTTCGTGTTTAGGGATTACTGTTTAGGGTTTAGTTCGTAGGGATTAGGGTTTAGGGTTCAGGGTCAGGGTCTAGGTTACTTCGAGGTGTGGGTGTGCTTTGTGGCACTACCTCGGTCCTTCTGACTTCTGAGCCGTAGGATCATACCACTTATCTTCAGTATTCACTTACTTGGGACCCCCGGACAGGATACCTGGCTCAAGGTTCGGGTTTCAGAAGGCTACCCTGAGGGTCCAAGGACCCAAATAACAGGGTTTTAGGGCCCAAATACCATTGATGTTATAGTATTTGGGTCCTGAAAACCTATTTGTTGGGTCCTTGGACCCCTAAAACCCTAAACCCTATATATCCCCCTCTCTAACTCCCCTTAAAGGGCCCCTATTATTTGGGTCCTTGGACCCTTAGGGCTAGGGTTTAGGGTTTCGGGTTGGCTGTTGAAATACGTTAGGCCTCCAAGCTTCCTTTCATGGGCCATTCACTTGGGCTACAATCCCTCCCACTGGGAGCTTTAGACTATAGGGTTTAGGGTTTAGGATTTGGGGTTTAGGGCTCACGGTTCTCACTGGGAGTTTAGACTATAACTCATGTAGTATCTTTTTTGTTCCATGTTACTTTGGGAGGGTAGACAGCAAGTAGTATGAAGACCCGACGCGGCTTGACTCTAAACTGTAAACTGCGGGTAAGCCTATTGCTTTCAAGCTTGTCGGTGAAGATCCGTGATTAAGAATGCGCCGCGTCGGCCTGCAGCATTTCCATGTCGAGTCAGCAGGCTTCAACATCAAGCCATGTTTTCACACTTCACCACGCATATGGTATATACCTCGGGCCCAAAAGGGTTCCCAGATACCTGCTTCAAGGCCCAAGTATAAGCCATATAGCTACATGAACCGTTTGGGACAGTAGGTTGGCTACAACAATGACAACCCTTCAACGCAGAAATCCAAGCCTGCAGATGCCGATGTTACTACATGAAGCAGCGTTGGAGCTAGAGTTTAAGGTTTAGGGTTTAGGGCTCAGGGCGTAGGGGTTAGGGTTGAGGTTTAGGGTTATAAGTGAGTGTATATAGGGTTCCAGAGGAACATGGATGAGTGTTTATCTTTAATGTCCGTTTTTGGGGCTGGGTTACGAGTTCGATTACTACCATGCATGACTTTTACTGCGTTTGCCTGCCCCTATGAGTTATAGTCTAAACTCCTTAACTAGCGGGCTTTATAGTGGATTCTATAGGACTACTATAGGGATTATTAAGGGTAAGATGCTCGGAGTGTAGACTATGGCTCATATGAATGTATTATTATTACCCTAGACCCTAAACCTCAAGCCCTAAACGCTAAACCCTAAACCCTTAGTGAATACATTATTAACGTAGTTGTTACAATTGTCGAACTTCATGCCCATCTCTTGCCTCCTTGGCGGTTTACAGATCTAGCGATAGGATGAGGGTTTAGGGTCTAGGTTTAGGGTTCCGGGTTTAGGGTTCAGCGTTCAGGGTTTGGGTTCAGGGTTTAGGGTTTATTCTTTAGGGTTTAGGGATAGCGTGAGTGGGCATTTGGAGCCTTACAGTAGGAGTGACGGGGCTTCAGGTCTACATAGCTGTTCAGGGTCACCTAGTCTTGTTCGAGCCCTCTTGACCACGTAATCCCTAAACCCTAAGCCCTGAAACCTAAACCCAACACGCTGAACCCTAAACCCTGTACCCTATACCTACCTGCACCCCCAAAGTATGTAGAATAATGGCATTTTGGGCTATATTTAGTGGTTTTGGGCCATTGTTTTACCTACTTTGGGGGTTTAGATATACCCTAAACCCGTATACCCTAAACCCATGATCAGATCAGCTCTTCTCGCTGGAGGTACCAAGTACATCGTGCAGTCGGATCTTGTTTTTTCAACGCTGCCGGACTATGCCGTCATCTACGGCACGATGCAGCTTGGCATTCCAAGCCCAATCCAAATTCCCAAACCGTAAAACCTAAAGGGTTTAGGGTTTAGGGTTTGGGGATTTAGAGCGTGCCAGGAGGGCCAAAGCAGCCTGGATAGTCAGTTGAATAGCGCGGAAAGCTGGGATAATTACATGGCTCAATACGGGGTAAACGTATACTTCTACTAAATTTCCCTGACCCTGCAGTGAGAGTTGCAGGCTTCCAAGGTGGGCGTAGAGTTTAGGCTTTTGGGCAGTACCTTGGGGCATGTAGTTTTGAACCCAAAGCCCTCTGCCCAACCATACTAATATTATACGTGGTATTCTATTGATACTTAGATCCCTTTGACTTAGTTCCACTGTCCCGCCCCAGCTGAGGAACCTCTTCTCCTATGCGAACCGGGCCCTTGCAAAAGCCATCGGCGACTTGCAGGACCGTTCGGAATCAAGCGAAAAAGAGTGCTAGCGCTTTCGATTTTTTGGTTCCTCCGGGGCCCGGGGCCATGTAAGCTATGTAGTCGAAACTCCGAAAGGGGGTTGTACAGAGGGTAATATAGGGGAGTATGATAGGGGCTATTCAATTAAAGGGTTTACTATTAGGAGTTGAGCCTAGCTCGTGTGAGGGTTGTATTAGAGACATCCGCACTAAAAAGGAAGCCACCTACTTCATGGCCAGTTTGGGGACCGGTGCTTTAGCACCTAACAGACCATGCGGGTATTTGGTAAATACTGGCGACCTGAAGTAGCTATACGGGAACTGTTGGGGCTACAAGTATAGACCATATGAGCTATAGTCTAAACTCCTTAAAGGATTTATGCTGGGGAGTATTATACCCCTAAAACCTTAACCCTAAACCGCATAGAATCTGGGCAAGACTGGCCTGGGTTAGTCAGGGACATCCAAGCTTAGAACTTACGACCAGACACACTATTTGTCTTCATGCAGGGTTTCGGGGTTCAGGGTCTAGGGTAAACACTAAAACCTAAAACTCTAAACCCACATCCGTACCTAGCATCTGGGTGCCACACTTTGCATTTTGTTTCAGTTGACCGGAAGCTGCCAACTTGAGACACATGGCACTTGGGAGATCAATTTCTAAACCCCATCTAGCTATACTATCTTATCTATCTATCTGTCTATATATATATATGTGGTTTAGTGCTTAGGAATTGGGGTTTAGGGTTAAGGGTTTAGGGTCCCGAACCCTTCAGCTTATCAGTTATGTACTGCTAAGGGTTTCGGGACGGCTTTTGGCATTGTGCAGTCTTCTTCGATAGATGTTCTAGGGGCCTGAGTATACCAATATTGTGATCCCAGTTTGCATATTTCTGGTATGGGGTACCTGAAGTAGATCTCACCATGGTATTAAGAACTTTCCAGTCTTCCCTACATTACAAAATCTCCTGTAAACTCCCTATACAACCCCATAGGGCCCTAAATTCCTTTTCCCCTTGCACTCAGCACAAGGTCCTCAGCCCCACAACCGAGCCCTAAACCCTGCCCCCGGAATGCTAAACTCGTTTTATGCCAGATTTTGCTGAGGCTCAGTTCCAGACAGTCTCCTGCTGCTGGCGCCTGAAGGCGGTTTAAGGGGTTTCACGGTTTAGGGTTTTAGGGTTTTACGTTTAAAGGGTTTCAGGGTGTAGGGTTCAGGGTTTAGGATTTCGGTGCCGTTGAAGGTGGATGTTCTGCGGCATGGTAGCGTCCTTGCGCGGTTGACATTGCGACTTATATACTTACTGAATCCCAAATGAAGGACCTCTAGAAATCCGTCATCATCCTCATACATGCCTCAGGGGTCTCTACTGTAAAGGTCAGGGGGACTACCAACCCTATACCCTATAAACCCTAAACCCCAAACCCTATAAATGCTATAAACCCAAACCCTATAAACGCCATAAACCCTAAACCCCCTCAACCCTACCTATGACACGTAGAAGCCTCACAGCGATCTCAATTCTCCCCATTGTAACATGGTGATGCCTCCTGGTCAAACCTAGACACCTTAAACTCCACGCCCTAAACCATAAACCTCAGAGTCTAGGGTTTTGGACCTGAACCCCAAAAGTATGTAGAATACTGGCTTTTTTGGCTATGAGTTTACCTACCTTTGGGGTCCAGGCAAACCTAAACCTTAACCTATATGCCCTCAAGCCTACCTTGATCCTAGATGTTCGTCATGTTTAGGGTTCTGTCCTACATTTTTGTAAGGTACCTCCCACCCAGCAAAGGCAGGACATCCAGGGCCCAAGTAAGACCCTAAACCCTAAATCCCTAAACCCCAAATCGCTTAACCCCTAAACCCTACACCTAAATCCTTAAATCCCTAAATCCCTAAAGCCTTAACCCCTAAACCCCTTTTTCCCTAACCCCTGTGGCCTGCAGGCTTTGTGTTCGACATCGTGAATTGCCTGCGCGACCCTCTCACGGTGACGTCCCAGGCCTGCTGCTTTGAAGGTTCAGGGATTAAGGATTTAGGGATTCAAGGTTTAGGGTTTAGGGTTTAGGGATTTAGGGTTTGGGGTTTATGGATTTAAGGTTTAGGGATGTTGGCTTAAAGGATCTTGGTTTTGGTTTATGGTTTATATAGGGTTTAGGGATTTGTGGCCATCTACCCTGTATGTCCATGTGTGCGTGAACATGCTCTATGTAGATAGATATATATATATATAGATAGACTTATTGTATATATACTTGGGGCTCGAAGGGGTTCCTATGAAGATTGTGCAGGCACCTCCGGGCCCAAGTATATTATATACCCCTTTGTGTCCCAAGCATGTACCATGCACCTCCCACATGGACCATTGAATCTCTAAGTGTTTACGTCTTTGGCTCTTTTGGACTTAATGGGAGTTCAAGGTTCAGGAGAACGCGTCATTGGCCGATAAGGACGAGTTAGGCTTAGCGGTTACGGACTAGGGTTTGGGGTTGCCCCAAACATCTTTCTTTTGCTTATAGCCATATGAGCCATCCTCTAAACTCCTAGCATCCCTCTCAATATCCCCTATACTAGTCCCCTATATATAACTCCTTTAAGGAGTTTCAACTATAGCCCATATAAGAAGTAAGAAGAGAATCATTTCTTTGGCGGACTAGGCATGGGGCCGAATCCTTTCAAAGGGAACTGAAAGCCCTGAACCTAAACCCTTGAAAGGGGCTCTGAGCCCCATACATCCCAACATATTCCTACGTGAAATCCCCTGACAGGAGCCTTAAACCTCCTAGAGAATGCAATGTTGGAATTGCCAAGAAAAGCACCCAGATGCAGTACCCAGATCTTGCATGTGCGGTTCGGAGTTTACAACTTCGAGTGTAGGGCGTAGGGTTAATGATTTTGAAAGAGAATGGCTCCAGATATCCATATGCAGTAGGAGTTGAGTCAGGGTTCCTGTGACGGTACATAGAGTTCTTTAGGAACATCGAGTGTATATATGTGGTGTCCAATTCGGGACCGCAAATTGAAACCCTACTATACATAGAACCAAAATTTTTTGGCCCCCAATGACGTTGTAGGAATCTCTTTGGCTGTTGTGTATGCTGTGTAGGTGCCGGTCTAGAGTGAGAGAAAGAGGGAGAGACATGGAGATTGCAGCTTAATCGTTAAGCCCGCGGGGCCTTATACCTTGTTTGTTTGCGCTCGCGGTGTCTGGACCTCGAGCCCTGAACCCTCCACCGTGAAAACGGTCTAGGGTCTAGGGTTTTTTGGTTTTGGATTAGGCTTCGGATTTTAGAGTAGGGTTTAGGGTTAGGCTTTAGGGTCGCGAACGCTGTCCTATACCACGGACAGCTAGCGTTCATATCCGTGTTTGTTGTAAAGCTGGTGAGATTATGCCGCATGACAGGATTATATCCCTTGAGATTATAGAAGTCTTTGTATGATACCTATTTTGGGCTTCAAACTCTTGGAATAGTATGTTCCCATATAGGCAGTTTAACGCCCAACTACTTTCCATATACCTACTGTAAATGGGCCTTTGCATTAGACTTTCTCATGCAGTGACAAGAGGTCCTTGCGTGCCGGCGCGGGGATCGAACCTTTGCTGCGTCTTTGTGTCTCGGCCAGTTGGTTCGCGAAGGGAAGACTTGCCAATAGTATTCTCTAATAATCATTTAAAACCATAGTACCTAGACCTTCCTCCTACCCGCTGCTGGGGGCTAATTACCACCTATTAGGGGCCGTATATCCCCAAGTAAGGGTACTAGTACCTAAATCCCTATATCATCCTAGTTTCCATGTAATTTTGCATCTCTTTTGGGTCTAGCGAAGCGGAGTTTGTTCATGGCCCCGCCGGGTATATCGGAGTTTCTCACTTTACTCCCCACATAACTCTGAAAGCAGACCGAGAATAAGGCAGTATGGTCCGTCTGATATAATGCATTCCATTCCCTGATTCGCTACTGACCACCAGTACGTCATACATCTTTAGGGTCCCTAAGACCGCTTTAAAAGCACCCAGGTTCAACCCTGGATCATCCTCCTAAACGCCTAAACCTTTTGGAGACTAGCATACCCTCCCTAAACCCTAAATACTCAACCATAAACCCTTGGTATTGGGCCATGGGGCGCCCAAAAGAGAAAGTCAGCCTTACAAGCTAGCTGACCAGTAGGCAACCCTTAGCCACTTTAGGGTAGTACCGTTTAGGGTCTAGGGTTGAGGGGTTTAGGGTTTAGGGGTTTAGGGTATACACTTATGTATTTCTTTATTTAGATACCGCATCAACCTGAGTTCAAAGCCGTAGATTCCGGGCAACGAAGCGTTTAACGCTCACCCCCCACCCCATATATTCTTGATGAGACCCTAAGTCCCATAATTCGCAGAAATTACAGCTTAAAGAGGTATAAGTGGTAGGAGATATACCCTTTCAACAGTATTTGGGCACCTAAATGTTTACTCTAACCATCCTCAGACCAACAATAGTATGGGTTCAATGTTTTGAATAAGGACGCGCCTATTCTGAATTTAAGGAATCCTTTCTACTTGAAGTCTTGGGCTGCTTAGGGTTAGGGACCCCAAACCCTAAACCCCAAACCCTAAACACAAAGAATACTGCCTCCCTGCGTGTTTGGATCAGGGCTTCCTCTTGGAGGTGCAGAGCACTGATAACCCTGTTAGGGTTCAGGGTTTAGGGCTTAGTGTTGAAGGTTTAGGGTTTAGGGCTCAGCGTTGAGGGTTTCAAGGTTTAGGGCTGAACCGTGTAAATTTCAACCATCAAGGACCCACCGGAAGTACTCTGACAAGAGAACTACATAAGCCCTAGGGTTTAGGGTTTAGGGTTTAGGGTCAGGGTACCTGCGGGTCTAGGCTAAACCTGAACCCTTAATCCCTTCCTCCTAGTATTAACCACCCCACCCCACCCCCCTAATACTAAACGCTCCCACTTGTGGTATATTATAACATATCAGGAATATTTAATATGGGGGGGGGGGGGGTGGCGTTAATAATAGGGAGACGGGATGAAACCTCACACCAATCTAACTCACCGCCCGCAGCTGCCCGTCTGAAACGCTTTGATGACCTGTAGGTTGAAGTAATCTTAAAGTCCGGGTAGCAGGCGGGCGTAGCGTTTACAGAGTAGGGTATGGGATGTAGGTCCCCCCAACACCATTATCAGGGCCCTGTGACAGCTTTATGATAGGGTTTAGGGCATCCTGTCCCCACAGACGCTCTCAACCCTAGAAGTAGGAAACTGATGACACAAACCCAAGAAAGGACTTACAACATGCCGTTCTGTATATGAGCCATAGCC